AATGAGCATCTAAGTCATCAAGAATTTTTGTCACAAATCATGAATGCTTCCCTTAACCTTACAGGGTCTGGCTTTGACCTTGATGAAGCTGAAAAAATGGCATTAGAAATGTCTGAAGAAAAAATTCTGTTCAGGAATGGAAAGTAAAAAATTGATATTGAGTTAGACACATACAAAGGTCTCCCTCGTTCCGATTCCTCAAACACTGATATCCTAAAGTGGTGGGAAGCCCATGCAAAAATGATTCCACTACTTTCCCAAGTTGCAAGAAAATACTTGGTCATTCCTTTAACTTCTGCATCAAGTAAAACGGTTTTCTCAGCTGCAGGCAGTGTGGTCACTGATTCAAGAACAAAATTGGATCCCCAAAATGTTGATAAAATTGTTTACCTCAAGAACAACATTGGAAAGATTGATAAGGCACGATCTGCTTTTACAATTGAAACAGCAGAAGAGGCAACAGAAAGGAAATCCAAGACCTACCAAAAAAATCAATCCACTACGACAAAACAAGAGGATCCGAACAAACAGTGGTTCCATTGATATTTCTGATGATTAAACTTACTAAATAAACTTTTTACATCTGTAACTTAAACTTTTTACATCTGTAAACTGTAATACAAATAAATTACAATACAAGCAATAATAGTTGTTACAAAGAATAAGATCTAAAAAAAGTTTTATATACTTACTTTTCTGTTTTGCATAATTTTTACACTCTTAAATCCATTAAAAATGGTCTCAAACTCGGTTTGATATACATCTTAAAAATTTCGAAATACTTCAAAAAAGATTTAAAATACTTCGGAAAAAAATTCGAACATTTTCGAAGTCCGAATTTGCTTTCATTGACTACGAAACTTTGACTTCGATTTTCGTAGTTACAAATGTTTACTTCGAAACTTCGACTTTGAAAGACTTCGTCACCCGTAATGCAGAATTTTATCAAAATTTAAAAAATATTCTCTTACGTTTCTTCAAAAACGGAGCAATTTTTATATTTTATTTTAATTGCTTTTCATTACTTTTCATTTTGGAATGTTTCTTCTTTTAACTTTAGATTTTTGTCTTTTCTTTTTCTTTTCTCGTTTCTTTTTATGTTTGTTTTTTTTCGTTAGTTTGTTTGATTTGGTTTTTTGTTTGTTTTTTGTATTTTCATTTCCTTATATATATATATATATATATATATATATATATATATATATATATATATATATATATATATATATATATATATATATATATATATATATATATATATATATATATATATATATATATATATATATATATATATATATATATATATATATATATATATATATATATATATATATATATATATATATAAGGATATTTTAATTTTGTGTTTGCTTTTAAGACACGGAATTAAAACTAGTATATAACAATTTTTAAATTGACTACTAGGACCATTAGACCAATCTTGCAAGTATTTTACATCTTTTCTAATAAGGTTAGTTATTAACAAGTCAATAAAATAAATAACTAAACTTCTTGAATGGTTCAAATCATCAAAAATAATAACGGCAGATTTACAAGAGTCACCATGCCACCTAACAGCAGTATATAATGTTATTAATTTTTTGTTCCAATGTGCTGACTGTACCTCATCCAGAAAGTTGAGAAGTTTTCCGAAAAGTCAACTTTTAACAAAACTGAATCAAGATTGCTTTTTAAAACTTTTTTTTGGTTTTCATAACTCATTTATTATCTTCCTTTTATAAAATAATGCAAAAGAAATTTGGTTAGCATTTTCAAAACATTGTTATACAAAATTATGGCTTTATCTTTTTTATTGCTTTATCGAGGAATTTAGTTCCATTAGGTTGCGTAACTTTCTTCCATAGGTACGAGGTAATTTCTTTGTTGTGGTTTTTTTCATCTCATTGGTATGTTTTGAGAAATAACTTTTCGTCCTTACAAGCTTTACAAAGATTATTTCAACAGTTATAATTTTTCTCGTCATACACTAAAGTATTTGGTAAAGCATGCGAATAAAGGGGAATTTTTAAATCGATGAAATGTAATGCTTTGAGTGACAAGATAATGTTTTCATGTTTTTGACATGAACAAACATTTCTAGGCATTAAGCTTGATGAAAGTGTATGGATGGTCTCAAATTAGCAAACTTGGATTTACTGATTGAAAAATCAGTGTGTTCGTTTTTTAAATATTTGATATGCTTCACTTTTTAAATATTTGGCTTCGCTTCATCATTAAGAGCATTAGATCCATGTGTTGGTTGCATATCTTTGTTAAACTGAATTGCAAGTTGTTTAACAACAGTTGCTTTTTTAAGAAGAGAAGTTGGAAGAGCACGAATTGCTTTTTTAATAACTTTACCAAGTGTACAAGATGATTTGTAAGCAGAAGAGATGTTATTGTTATTTTAGATGAAGAAACTCTACTCTTTTTTTTTCTTAACTTGTCCTTTAAACGTCCTTTAAATTCAACATTGAATTTCGTTTTTTTCTTTTTTCGTATCGAGTCTTTTTCCTTTATAAAATCTGGACCAAAATTTTGCATTTGTCTTTCTTTATACTTTCTCAGGCGTTCAGCATGTGTCAGAGGCATTTTTATTACTTTCAACGAAAAAATAAACAATTTGTTTGTGAAAGTTCACTTTTTACAAGAATTGTATAAACAATAAACATTCAGAATAACTTCAGCAATGGCGCGACAAAATTTAAGAAAAACTCAATAACAAAGATGCTAGTAAAATATGTCAACATATTTACAGGTACACCTACTATTTAATAAAAAAAAAACAATGTTAGTTATATTAAAGGAGGTTTCAAAACTTATCCACAAAAAAAAACAAAAATACTACTAATGTTAAACAAACATGTTTTTTGCGTAACATTTTTATAAAAATTAGTCTTTAAAAAATTTAATTTTAAAAATGTCACGCCGTGTCGTCTCAACGCGACATAAACTTAAGACACATAACAAAATTGAAAGACACATAACAAAATCGAAAAATGTTTAATTTTAAATAACTATTGATATTTATTGTCCTATTTTAGTTACAAGTAATTTATAAACAAACATTCTTACTTAAAATTTCTTGTTTTATTTAAAATAAATAAATATTCTCACGCTAGAATGAAAACTGTTACTATTAGTGTCACGGTGTGACATGTCACAGCGTGACAAACTTAAAGAACACCAAATAGAAATTTCTCAATGAAAGACAATTTAATTATTATAATAAATTTTTTATTTGAAAAGCAAGAGCCCCATTTTGCGTAAGACAAATCTACATAGAAATTTAAAAAAATTTCAAAAAAAAAGGTTTCAAAATGATTTAATAGAAAAATAATTTAAATTTGAAGTCTAAAAAATTTTGTTTAAAGTTTAAGCATCAAATCCTATGCTTTTTTATTATTTAAAGAAACTTTTTTGTTTATATATAATTTTTAAAACTTTTTTATTACCCGTAGTAGTGAATCTAAAGAACATCATTTTGGAGTGATTCATGTTAACTCATCGGCGTTAACATGAATTTAGTTAAAATTATTTGAAAAAGCTCCTTAATTTAATACTGATCCCTGTTCTAATCGGTTCTGACGTGTATTAGCTATTTATAGTTGTCAAAACACAATATTTCAATCAATTTTCACAAAAAATACTAGAATTCCGACCAAGAAAGAGCTTAAAATTAGGAAAAATTGCCATTAAACGATCAGACCAGATCATATTGTTAAACTATAATATATATTTCACTTAAAAAACGTATTTAATCTTATTAAAGTTTGGACAAGCAATTGTGATTTTAGGAAGATTTTTTTTTTTTTTAATAAAAAGAATCTTCGGTCTGGATTTTTTTCGCTATAGACATTTATATTTTATGATACCGCAAAATTTATCATTTTAATTTTTTTCGTCTTTTCATAATTCTCAGACCTGATTATTTAACAAAAATATGTCGTAGTCAACTAAGTATCATACAGACACTATTTTTAAGTTGCCTTAACTATACCGAGTAGGTAATTTCAATAAAAACACATTTTCATGCCTAATTTACTGATACACTCGGTAATTTGAGAATGAAAATGGCATCTAAAACAAAAACTTTAAAGGAAGTCAAAAATTTAATAATCCTATGCATTGTGTTTCAAACAAAAAAACAACGGATTTTTAACTAACATATTTTTCTTTACGTAAAGGTATTTTTTCATTTTTTCATCTATATTACGTAAAGGTATTTTTTCATCTATATTTCAAGATTAAAATTTCGCGTGATAGATTTTCATATGAGTAATGATAACATTTTAACAAAACAAAAAATTAAATGGCGTTTAAATTATATGAAAGCCGCTAGTCATTAGGCCGACTGAATAGTAAAGAGCAACTGCTCTTTTTTATTCACCTCGCTCATTTTTGCAGAAATTGACCCTTTTATTCACACTGCTCGTTTTTGGAGTAATTGCTAAACTTTAAATGAATGCATGAATTAATAAAAAAATTTAGCTGAGGTTTATATTTATTTCATTTTTAATAAAGATTTATTTTTTTATATAAAAATATTCTTTAAAAAAAATAAAGCTTAAAATAAATAACTTGTCGCCAGGCAACATACCAATACAAAATAATATCTTATAAACTTTTGTAAGTAACAAGAAAACGCTTTTAAAACACTAATAACCGTATAAACACAAAGAAGGTTAATATACCACTACTATAACTAATAACTGTATACCACAACGTTGCAATAATTATAAAAACAAAAAATAAAGTATAGTATAGTCAGAATATTGATGACAAGGGGAGAGATAAGGGTAGGATCAAGTAAAGAAACGCTAGAAAGCAAAAAGTGGGAAAAAAAAAAAAAAAAACATATAATAGCTACGTCACAGAATAGGACAACATTGAAGCAAGAAACAGTTCAATAATTACGAAAACTTATTTCAAAAACAAAATCAGACTTGAGAATAAACGACAAATGATAGAATTTATGAACAAAAAACACTAATATATAAAAGAGCAGCAACTATAATTAACAATTGTAATACAACTAATAAATTTATATATGTAAAACATTCTTTTTTAGTAATGTACAATAAATAAAATATATCAAAATTGTTACTAAAATAAAAATTGCATATGATAACTCAAGAGATTTAAACTTCTTAAGTTATTTTCATTTAATGGAGATAACTCAAAAGATTGAAACACTTTCTTATTGACAATATAAACATCCGTTTCAACAAGTTTAAAATTTCATTTTTAAAACGTTGATCAGTTATTTAAATACTTGAAGTTAAACCAAATATTTGATTGATTAGTTGTGGTTTTAAAGCTGAACCAATTCGTTAATAATTTAGTCGTCCAGATAAAATTAAACTAATCAGTTGTTAATTGATTACTTGAGTATTTAAAGTCAAACCAATCAGTTGTTAATTGATAACTTGAGTATTTAAAGCTCAACAGAAGATCCTTTACTAGAACGCGAACTTCTTCTTAACTGAACTAAAGCTGGTCTTGTATCCTAAAACAATAAACAAAAACTGAACTAAAGTCTTGCATCCTAAAACAATAAACAGAAACTTTTTTTTTTTAATGTCAAATATCCTTGAAGAACTACGTCTACTTTTAAAAAACTAATTTTTAATTATATTTAAACGTATTTTGCAAATGCAAGCGCAGTCTTTAAACCGAATAAAATTAAACATAAAAACGTTTATTTTACATCAGATAAACATCTAGATACATCCGTCTCTTGAAATTCCAATTTGATGGTTTCTTCCTCATATTTATTAGTTGACCTCTCATTAGTTTGCTCGTTATCGCTATGTTGCTCGGCGTCCAGATTCATAATATGCTGTTTAAACTTGAAAATAAAAAAATTGACTAAACCAGGTATTATTAAAAAAAAAATTTTTACTTATATTATGTATAGTAACGATTAAAGCATAATAGAATTTTTAAAAATGTAAATATACAATGTTAGTTTTTAAAATGTGAATACATAATGTAAGCTTTTGGAAGCGTAAGTGCCTACCGACTCATAGTATTTGAACATTGATTCTCTGTCTCTATTGGTCGAAAATATAAGCTCCTTATGCTCAGATTGAAAGTCTTTGTCAGTTTTTTTGCTAAGAGATTTGTCGTTAAGTTTGGAAGGTTCAGATGGAGAATACTTTTGACATTTGCTGTAAAACAAATAAAAAGATAAATTTAAATTAAAACTAATTAAAATAGATAATAAAATTAACCAAAATTAGACAAAAATAATTAATAATGAATTATTTAATCAAAAATCAAAAAGTATTAGTAAATTTTTTGGACATTTCAGTAATATCGAAAGATTGATCGAATTTGACTGTTAATAATGTATATTTATTTTTAAGAATACTTTAAAAACAAAATGTAATATAAAAATGTATTTAAAATACATTCTGTCCTCCAGATAAAAACCAGCAGCGCGATCCTTGTTTATACAAGATCGTTTTATTAACAAATGACAATTTTCCATATATTTTTATGTAATATATGATTTTGAATTTAACTTTGTTTATTCTGAAATTAGAAATTTATCTTGTATATTTAATACAAAATTTAATAAAAATTTAATAAAAAAAAATTTATAAAATTTTAATGAAGAGGTGCGACACCAGGCACTACTATGGTGAAAGCCTAAAGATATGATCTTTGAAAGCATTTACCCAGGCTGCGCAGTTAGGTGGGGTGATTTTGGATCAGAACTATAGTAACCCTGGGGTAAGTAGATTATCAAAAAACAATAATAAAATGTATAACATGGACTTGCTAATATTGCCTGCAAAATGGCTGGTTTACAAAAATGTACTTTATTAAGACATTATCTATTTTTGAAGAAATATATATATATATATATATATATATATATATATATATATATATATATATATATATATATATATGTATATATATATATGTATATATATATATAATTGACTCTCGATATCTCGAACTTTTGTATATCTCAAACTTTATTTCCGGTCCCTTGCACACTCGTTTGAGCCAAAATCCTCTCGAAATCTTGAATTCTTGATAACTCAAACTTTTTTCTAGATCCCCTGAGAGTTCGAGATATCGAGAGTCCACTATATATATATATATATATATATATATATATATATATATATATATATATATATATATATATATATATATATATATATATATATATATATATATATATATATATATATATATATATATATATATATATATATATATATATATATATATATATATATATATATATATATATATATATATATATATATATATATATATATATATATATATATATATATATATATAAATGAGTGTTCAATGTTTTTAAAGAACAGGGCATTAATAAATTAGTAACAAAACTTTTATTAGAAAATTTTAAAAATTAGTAACAAAACAAATCTAATTTTTTTTCTTAAATAACTTGTGTCACCATCAGTAAGTTCATCAGGAAGGTTCCTGACTATAATAATAGAATATAAGAAAAAAAATTGGATATATATATATATATATATATATATATATATATATATATCACAAACAGCACACTTTGTTAAGGCAACGTTCAAACAGCTTTGTTTCAACCATTTTAACGTTTTTTAAATGTTAGCCCTACAAAGTGTGCTGCTTGAGATATATGGCATTTTTTTTCATATTTTAAATACTAAGTATTTTTACAGGTAAATGACTCTGAAGAAGAATATAATTGAGTAAAAAGTTCTCAATATAATTTAATGAAAATTGATAGATTTGCAATGGAGGCTGTAAGGTATATAAAATTTTTATAAATATTGAGTTTAGATGAATATTTTTTTGATATACTATATTAAAAATGTGAAAAGAAAAAAATCATAAGTGTCATCATTGTTCATCCCCAGTAAGTTTTTTTAATGTGGGAGAGGAGAGGGTGAGTATAGAATGTTAAGGGATTATATACAGATAATATACTTTGCTTTTTCAGTTTTGTTTATTTATTTAACATTTTCTTATTTGTAAACATCATAGTCTTATCTCATGCTGCAGCTGCACTAGCAAATGCTCTACTTCTAGAATATGGAATCATTAAACATGGAGATCTGAACAAGTTGTAGATCGAAGCAAAATTAAGAGAAAAATACTATTTCATTATATAAGTTGGAAATATATCTCTTTATTTAATAGTTTATATAAATACTTGTTTACAAAACATTTAATACGATATTTAGCTAAATATAATATTTTGACTTGGTTTATAGAGAGAAGAAGAAAATAATGTCAAAATATGGTGATCAACATGATAATAATTCAAATAACTTGGTGTGTTTGGGTGTTGGTGATAAAGATGATAAAAATGTTCTTCAGTTTAAGGATGTCGTTGAAAATGCAGAAACTTGCTTGAAAAGAGTTACTGAAAAAGAACATTATTTAACTTTTACTAATGAAAATAGTTTTAAAAATGGTTCATATCTCTCTCATAAAAATCTCCCATTAAATGGTTCAACTAATTTGCTTCAAAGTGAAATTGTGTATAATGTTCTGAAAGAGTATGATAGTTTCAGTATAAGCCCTTCTTCTTAATAATACAAATGTCAACACAAAATTCAAAACTGGTATTGTTGCATGTTTAGAAAAGAAAATAGGAAGAAAGATATACCTTATCAGATGTACTTTATTTACATCACAATAAACTTCCATTTCCAAAAGTATTCAAAATAGTTGATGGCAGTTTTGGAAGCATCCAAAATAAATTTTCAGGACCTATTGGAAAACAAGTTGCTATAGATTTCCATTTTAACCCACAAGGGAAGCTTATCAAAATTGATACTCCAGTGGAGATACTAAATATTCCCATTGAAGTGATTAATGAAAAAAGCCATGATCAAAGATTATTATTTGAATATTGTCTTGGAATTTCTAAAGGATTAGTCAATCCCATATTTTTTAGAAGAAAAACTGGCCCACTAAACAACGCAAGATGGTTGACCAATTTGAATCATGGGTTTGTAAACTCATACTGAAGCACCAAGTCTATATCATGTAAGGCTTGTGAATTTTATTGTACAAGTGTATGAATATATTTGGTTTCTTTATCAAAAGGTCTTCTAAATTTATGGATTCTCCAAGTATATTCTTTAAAATGACAGAAAGGATAAGAAAGCAAGATGAGGAAATACAAAATATTTGTTTTAAAAACCTAAAAAAAAATACATATTGTCTATTGCCTGAGAACTTTTTATATTGTATGCTTAGAGATGAGGATTCTAACTTAAGAGAATAGACGTTACTAGTCATTAAAAAACTTAGGACAAGAAAAGATAAAGAATGCCATGTTACAAATATTGCTAATGTTGACATAATCTTATAAGCAACTTCTTGAACAGAATTAATTAACTTTGAGAAAGGCAGTGAACCGGCATCAACAATATAGCTGAAGGATGATGAAATCGATGCACTAATTGCAACTAAACACGCTGCCAAATTAGTTACAGAGACTAATCACCAAGTATATGCAGGGAAGTTCGACATAACTATATTTTCACTAAACTAAATTCTAGGGAAATTCAACCATATTTTGAAACTAAAAACAACTTTGTGGTTTTTTAATAAATAATTATGTTATGCATTTGATGTTAATAAAACATCTTTATATGAATGTACTTGCTTTTACTTTTTTGAATTGAAATAATGTAAAAATGTGTTTTGGATTTAGGACTAATGCAGTAGTAGGGTAGTGGTAAAGTGTTCACTCAAATTTGCAAGATATCTACTTCAGAAATGTTTCGCATATGCCAAAGGCTATTAATATTGGCTAGATATTTTAAACCAAACCAAATTTACTATATACCAAATTATACTATACTATATTTACTATACACCAAGTAAAATTAAATTGTGCAAATATTAATCCTTTATTCATATCAGGTAAATAAAACATGGATCATTATTAATATTATTAAAACTACCCATCATAGTATCAATGTAGTATTTTTGAATGTACGATAAGTATGAACTAAAAAAAAATATAATTTTATACATATCGTATGTCCAATAAATAATCAATTTGTTTCTTTTTTACTATAAAAATAAATATTATTTCACTTAGATTTTTTTACAATGACAAGACTAAAATATAAGTCAAAAGTTTGTAGCTCAAAACGAAGACTTCAATATAGAGCCAATTACGAGATGCTATTAATGCTGTTAAAAAAGGTAAGGTTGTGTACAAAGCAAGCAAGACGTTTGGAGTTCCTTATCAGACGCTTTGTGATAAAATATCTGAAAAAACTTTTTTTCAGATATTTTATCACAAAGCACAACACTGCGGTTATGAAGTAAATTGGTACTAGGTGAACACATTGAAAATAAGTTAGTCAAGTGGATACTAACATGCACAAGAATGGGATTTTCTATGTCTGTAGAACACCTACTAGATACTGTGTTATACACAGTATCTAATAGGTGTTAAAAATTTAAAATTTGGGGTAAATAAAGAACCCGTAATTTGCATATTACACCTATTATATACTTTAATTCCAACAATATAAAAACAGAATTTACTAACAACCGTCCTGCAGAAGGTTGGTTTTATGCATTTTATTCCAAAAACGAGGTGAATACTTAAACCAAGTTAGAGGAGGAGTAATTGAAAAAGCCATAAGAGATTGGTTTACTGAAATTTTAGGAGAAAATGGTCAAAATTTAAATGATTCAATGCGCATTTTCATTATGGATGAGAGTGGTTTTCAGTTGTCACAAAAAACTAATTTATAAATTGGTGAACGAGGAAAAAATACATACGAAGAAAGTGCTCGAAGTAATAAAAAAAGCATCACCACTTTATTTGCAGTAAATGCCAACAGAACTTTTGCTCCATCATTAACAACTTTTAAATGTTCGTCTTCCAAATAGAATTATATATACTGCTCCATCAGGATGGAGTATTGGAAAAAGTGAAAAATGGTTAGATGACCGCAGAATGTTTTTTTTGAGTATATTACAAACATTTTTCATCCGTTTTTTTGATAAAAGAAGAAATTCCTTTGCCAGTTTTTTTTTTTATTGATGGTCATGTGTCATATTTTTCTATTGAACTTAGTGAGTTTTGCTCTAAAAATGGAATAATTCTTGTTGCTTTGTCAACACATTATTTGCAGCCGCTCGATGTGGCAGTTTT